CATAAATCAGTTAAATGACGAAAAATTAGGTGTCTATTTACTTGTGACCACTCAGTGTAGTAACGCCACACACATTTGTAAAACTTATGTAAATTTAAAATTATAAAGTAACATGTGTAACATGAAATAACTTCGCAAGAACAATAAACATCGTAGTTGTGTGGATAGCACAAAGCTGAACTAGAGAAACAGTAAGATTGTCTTTAAAATAATTAAATCAAGACAGTGAGACATCCTATGATGAGTTCATCACCAACCATTTATACAGACACTATTTTTAGTAACATCGTCTGCCTTTGTAAATCATATTTATTGCTTTACTTATATAGCAAAACTGAAAATACATGGTTATGAAACTTGATTAAATTATTAGTTTGTATCCTTTTCAGGATGAATAGATGCTAATTATAGAAATGAAAAAAGTTAGGAAATGCAAAAGTATGATTAAATTTAGAACTAATGAAAATAAAATGAACAAATAATTGTAAAAGTATGTAAAGTAAATTATTGGCTATAATATTTGTCTTGTTCCAATGATGGGTGATAAAAACTTACACGTTTAACATTGTTATAATACTTGTTTCGTTAAAAAAATAGTTTTATTTGTAACATAATTAAATGTAGACATTAATGACGTAATAACACGTTGAGACACTCTATGATGAGATCATCACCACATCATACCAAATGTGTCCTCTGATTCTACATCGTCGAACTAGTAACATATTTTCTGGACAACTTTCGAGGTCATGTCCGCCTTTCATGGCGGCCTAGCAACGCGCAACTAGCAACACGCCACCTGGTTCCACGTCGTGGAACTATGACATAAACTTCTCTGTTGACACAATCGTCTCTAACCCTCCCCATCTGAGGACGACACACGTGTGGCCCCCTCTGGCGGCATGCCATGAAACAGTTGAGGTAACATCTGATGCAATGGGAACTGATATTAGTAGTCTTATAGTATCTTCTCTTTATAAGTATAATTGGGTTACAAATCTTATATTCCAAGAAGAGCACAAAGCCTTACTCAACAAGGAATCATATGTTCCAGTGTGTATATAAAATTTTATATCGACATGTTCTCATTTAAGGTTTGCCAAAAATTCATGATTTGGATGTTTCATTAAAGTCAATTGTTACAAACATTGACATTTAAAAAGATAAACTTTCAGGTTTTAAATAACTTTTCTTCAGGAGCAAACGATTAATGAATTTGAAGTTTAATAAAATCGTGTTCACGCCCATATTTTATATTGATACTTTTTAGACATATGTTTCGTTAAACGAACCTATTGATATATTTTCAAAATTAGTATTTTCATTATTAGATATAATAAATTGCATGTTTGAAAATATTTTCTTAATCTATTGTATTTGCAACTAAAGAGTCGTATTTTGTAATTAATTGAATAATTTATTGGCATTAGTATGGGATAAAATGGGATTTTAATGCTTTTTTTTGTAAATATTCAAACATGAAATACCAAAAAAATAAGTATGTATGAGCAAACATCTAGTGTTTGTGAATAGTGCTTACAGTTTCTGGAAAATAACGAATTTTATAACTTGGTTGACAGTAAACTATATCTAAAGTATAAAAGTGTGATGTATCAAGAAACCAATAATAATAGTGTTGCCATAAATGGAGAAACGGTGACAGTACAAAAAGAAAGTACTTTCAGCCCTGTCACAAGGTAGCCCTACTGTTATAAAAGAAAATGTTCTCGAGAAACTTCATCAAGCATTGCACGATATACTTCAGGTAAATGTAACACTGCTATCACTAATTGCAGCTTTATGATTATTAGTCGTGCTCAAGATGACGAACATTTGGGGATTCGTGAGAGTCTGACAATTTCAAACCTGGAGCAAAAAATAAACTTACAAAATTCGGCGATACCGCTACCCCTTAAGCTGCAAGCTTGTTCTTTTTATGTTAGGAAAAAGGAATGAAAACATATTAACAAAACACGTGCTGCTTAAACATTTTATTATATTTGAATTAGAAACAAAACAATAATTAAAAAAAGGTAACTGGTTACATTGGATAAGAAATGTAAGAAATAATGATTAAATCATTGCAAATGAGTTCGATTGTCCACTTCTTGACACATTTCATTGTCCAACTTCTGATTACCAGTAATGACTGAAAAATAAAGCAAGTTCTTATTATTTTGTTATATATATATATGTGTGTGTGTGTGTTTTGTAGATTTTACTAAATTGTCTCGTAAGGAAGTGAAATATTTCAGATTTAACAATATTATTATTTTCATGTTGTTTGTAAATAATTATAAAGTAACGACTTGTTTGTTCTTAAACACAAAGCTACATTATGAGCCATTAGCGCTCTGCCCACTGAGGATATCAAAACCTGATTTTTAGCATTATAAACTTAATAAAAAACTTACTACTTTCGATAATGGCCGTGACCATAGTATCTATGATGACTGTCATAACCACCACCATATCCACCACCGAATCCAAATCCAGTACCATATCCACCACCATATCCACCACCAAATCCACCACCATATCCCCCACCAAATCCACCACCATATCCACGTCGGAAATGGCCAAATTTTCCCCAGCTTTGAACTTCTACCACACTCAGTACAACCAAGAGGGCTCCCAGTCCCACCAGGAATGCAGATAAGGTTTTCATGATTGTTTTATCTACTCCAAGTAAAAGAAGAAATGATTAAATAACTTAAACATCATAGCATTCGTCAGCGATAACTAAATACTAGACAAGTATATAAGTGCCCTTGAATAACTATAAATATACAAAATTATATCAGAAGATAAAAAAACAAGTAATCAAGATCCTCTCCATACATCAACTAAATGAAAAGACTAAATTTACTAATGAAAGTACTTAGCTTCTTATGACATAAAGTGTACGCTTCGAGTTTAACTTACCAAAACCGATACTTAGACAACTTTTAAGGTGTTCGGATTAGAAGTATATATATATATCCTCATTGAGTTTAAGCTGTTTTTATATTAAATCTGGTGTTCATTTACAATTCTTGAGTAGTATTTCCCAGTTGCGTAAGGTGAAAATCCCGTGCCCATGAGGATGAGAAAATCATAATGCGTTGTTATTATTTTAAAAAGTCCCTTCCAAGACAACTCAATAAATTTCCCGTCTTTATCACACTTTACAAGTACGGGGGGGGCGATATTATAAGGAAATAAAGCCAGAGTATCGAAATGTTTTTAGTGCCTTATATTCATTAGTTAATATGTTGAAAACTTATAAACACAAATATTTTATAAGATGCAATGCTCTTTTAAACTTTATGCGTTAATCAAAGTGTAATATGATTTTGTTTGTGTTTAAAATATTCCACACACTTTTATTTTTTGTTTTGTTTTGAATTGAGCGCAAAGCTA